ACGTCAATGATGTATATCTCAGGAACAATATTAAAACTCTATGTAGCAGAAGGCAAATGACGGATCTATCGTTCTTTTACAAAGTTGTCAATGGGCTGATTGACTCACCAGAAATACTGGAGCAGTTCAGATTTATTACCTCTAGAGCCGATCTCTGAACTAGAAGGCTACTAGATGTTGTGCAGGCAAATAGAAACTACGTCGCCTTTGGTCCGTACAACAGGATAGCGAACCTTGTCAACCAACATGCACCGAATGTAAATTTCTTTGGAGGGTCTCACTCTAGCTTAAAATATAAATTAAAATCAATTCTCTGAATTATATGTTACATTGCAATGTCATTTCATTCCGTTTTGTTTTTTCTGTTAAAGCGACCACAACCACACACGTTTGTTATTACTTTTTTAGTCAATAATTTAGTTATGTACAAAGCCGATTGGCGTTTAAATAAATAAATAAATTTAAATTGTTGTAAATAAATATATGCACTATATACATACGCTACAGCGGAAATGGACGACACGCCATTTCTTTAAATCAGCCGTGCCCAGCGCAGGGCACTTGCCTATTGAATTCTGCCAGCGCAGGGCACTTGCTTATGGAGTTCTGCCGGCGTTGGGCATGCCTGCTTTAAATGAAATTAACTGCTGCTATATGTATGTATTAGGGATGTTAATTTTTCGGCTTTTCTGGTCCCGGGATTTTCGGGATGGCGTTGTCGCCAAGTTTTCAATAACTTGAATCGAAAAAATTGCTTCTATATTGTTTGAGGTCTCCTACCATGAAATAAATATGTAATAAATAAATGGGTTTGAAACCATGGTACAATAATTACAGGTATTGATTTCCCAGAGAGCGCATATTCCGATCTGCCTTATTTAAAAAATATCATTGTTATTTACTGCTGGAAATATCCCTTTTTCCATACCCCATATACCATATATGTTGACGTATTATTCATTACAGACATCTGGAAAATGGGGAGAGTGGTTCCACTGCTCAAACCGGGGAAACCAGCCAACAAAGGAGGGTCTTATCGCCCGATAACTCTCCTTTCCCCGGTAGCGAACACTCGAGGCCCTGCTGCTCCCGTATTTCACGAACCACCTGACCCCAGCGAAGCATCAGCATGGGTTCCGTAAAGTGCATAGCACAACAACAGTACTTAACGCCATAAACACTCAGATAACTCGTGGCCTAAACGGAAACCGCCCCTGTGAGAGAACTATTCTAGTATCGTTGGACCTGTCCATGGCACTGTCAGTCATTCAACGCTACTAGAAGATATAGAGGCCTCCTCACTCCCACAGGGACTCAAACGGTGATCGGCGAATTACCTGAGTGGTCGACACTCGTCAGTAATTTTCAGAGACAAAACTAGCAAGCCACGTAAAATTAAACAGGGGTTACCACAGGGTGGTGTCCTGTCCCCTACTGTTTAATTATTACATCTCAAAGCTACCTCAACCACCAGAGGGTGTTAATATAGTCTCCTATGCTGACGATTGTTCGATCATGGCGTCTGGGAATGGAATTGATGACCTGTGCTCGAAAGTAAACGGCTATCTCGCCGAACTTTCCCGCTTCTTCACTGCAAGGAGCCTTGCCCTATCCCCTGCGAAATCCTCGGCAACCCTTTTCACCACCTGGACGAAGGAGGTCAGACTGCAACTGGGTATTCAGGTCGATGGCGTAACAATACCGACGGTGAATAACCCGAAAATCCTCGGAGTTACCTTCGACAGTCTGCTCTCCTTCTCGGCGCATACAACCGCAATTGTCAACAAAGTACAGAGCCGCAACAATGTCCTCAAGTCGCTGGCTGGCTTGGCATACAAGGCAATTGGCCGGCCGGTTCTGAACTATGCAGCGCCCGTATGGTCGCCAGGGACTAGCAGGACGCAGTGGATGAAGCTACAGACCTGCCAAAACACGGCATTACAAACAGCGACAGGATGCCTCCTGATGACGCCCCAACACCACCTACATGACGAGGCCCAGATGCTCCCAGTAAAGGAGCATAACATAATGCTCTGCAAGCAGTACCTTGCTGGGAGCCACAGACGTGGCCATCCCAGCGAACAGCTGCTCGTGGAATAGCCCTCGCCAAAGCACGTTAGGAGGCATCTTTACGAACTGACGGACGAAGTCCAGAGGTTCATCAAACAACGTCTGGACCCGTCAACCTACCGACAGGGAATCAGTTTCAAGTTATGTAGACTCCCGCCCTGTGAATGCCGTCCTAGGCACACAACCACCGGACGTGGACGGGACAGAACTTTGTCTGCCTCGGGAGACCCGCACTACAATAGCCCAACTTCGCTATTGCAGCAGGCTAAACTCGTACCTAAGCAGAATCAACGAGGATGTGCCCAACCAATGCCCGGCATGTGGAGAGTCGCCACATGACTCCCGGCACCTCTACATGCCCTGAGAACCCCGCTCAGCGGACGCCCCTGTCCCTATGGACAGCCCCTGTGGAAGTCGCACACTTCCTGGGCCTCCCCCTAGCTGAAATCGACGACAACGCTGATGGATGAACCGACCCGAACGGGGCTTAGTAGCCGCTACAACAACAACAACAACAACAACAACGTATTTTTTTCAACAAACCATCTTACAGAGAACTTATACAATTTGCAAAAGCCGGAAAAAAACATTTGCTTGTAAATAAGGCGAAAACAAAAAGCAAAGCCAAATAAAAGTAAAAGAATCAACATTGAACTGCGTCAAAATGAAAATAAGGGAGCACGAATTTCGATGGGAAGCAAAACTCTCTAGGAAGACAATACCTGTAATTATTGTACCATGGTTTGAAACCTATTTTTATTTAAAGTGGCGTTTTTATTTTTTCTCCCTGACCGCAGGATTTATTTTGAAGGACTTTGTGATTTCAAAGATATGATTAGTTCCAAGAATTATTAAAAAATTCAATACAATGTAGAATAAAAATATGGGTAACAAATGCAATAGGAAATTTCTTTAGAATTTAAAAAATTTAAGTTGACAAAGTTAGAAAAACGAAATTCGAACAAATATTGCGAAATTTCAAGGATAAAATTTTAAAATGACATTTTCAATATTTACCAGCCCATCTGCACCAGAAACTTGAATATGTTTAAATTCTACATTTCCTCCTTAATTTTATACCCATACTTCTTCTCTAAGCACATTTCTCTGAATTTTTTAAATTGTATTAACCTTCGGAGGACACACCTTTTTTATTTGACGTGAACGACACACTGGGGTAAATTGCACCCCAATTGAAATGTTGCTTTTAAAACACACAGCTTAAGCTTTTTTTGCATATATTACGCTGGAAATATTAGGATAAAATAAATTTAAAATGAAATGTCTTATTGAATTTTTCAAAGGTACAAGATCATATAATTGCATGGTTAGCTTTTATTGACATAACGAAAAAGTTTATCAAAAATAGGCTTTGCACTGGGGTGTCTTACACCGCATGAGCGAAGGGCCGGACATTGGTCGAGGCTTTGTAAAAGGAGCTAAAGAGGATGTGGTGGAATTTTGGGAAAGCGTTCCAAGAATTAAAGCGGCACAATATCTAGTGAAATGGAGGCCCTTAAAAGGAGGGAGCTTACATTTTATCATTTAAGCTAAATGGATCAAAACAATCTCCTTTGTATATTAATGCAACTGTTAGCTGTTCTTCCTCCTGGGATAAAAGTGCACCGGCCACTGAATCCTTTGTATTCTACTTAATTAAGGTAAAGTCTTTTCAAATAATGAGTAAACTATATTTTTTTAATTTCACTATTCACTTGCGATTATATTTATTTTGATTTGTTTCTGTCAAAGCAGCTGATTAAGAACTTCGAATTTCACGTTTTTAGCTGGCAGTGCCGCTGATAGTTACGAACGGATTACAGCATACCAATTTTCGAATTTTCGGAACGGACTACGAATTCGTAACTACGAACATTCAGATTACAGCATAGGGATGTATACTTCCAAGTGCTCATTTACACACGACGAGTTTTGTTGCCGCAACTCGACGTTTGTAGGAGAGAGCGAGACGAGGAAAGGAGAGGGGCACCGAGTTGCTCGTGCTCGGGCAACACGCTTTGTGCTCTCGTTCGTCTGTGTAAATTGAGCCGCTGTTCACAGCTGACAACAACAATTGCACAAATCGCCGTGAACAGTGAAACAATTTATTATTTTCTAAGTTTGCGAATGAAACTTCACACTTAATTTTAAAACATTCATAACAAACATTTTATGAAGAAAATCCCCTTATTTACAAAAAATATATTCGTTTAAAATAAAAATAGCGAAATCGGCTAAATTTTATATAAACCTGCGTGACATGAAAATTTTCTCCGCGATAAGGCTAGTAGCATTTCCAACAGATTTTGGGTCGCTTAGTCAAAAATGGAAACACATATATTTGAATTTTAAGAAAACAAGGCAAATAGCAAAATCGGCTTAAAACGGTTAACAAATCGGCTGCCGGCTAAACCGAAATTTTTCCGGCTGCTTCCTATCGCAACCGGCTACATCTAGCCGGAAAACGGCTAAATGGCAACACTGATCAGAGTGCAACATTTTAAAGAAAGAGCGCATAATATGCATGTGAAGATGCTGAGAAAAGAACACGAAAACTTGACAGCCCTGGCGCAGGTCAGAATAAATGCAACATTAGCTTTGTTTACTGGTTTTGCGTTCTCGTACCCAAAAAACTTGCAATGTAGGGGAAATTGAGAGAGTAAAATGTGAAAGAGCTGCAAATTTCTGCTGGAAAAATTTTTCCCAGCTAAAACTTGCAAGTAAGAAAATCAGCTGATCACAAACACATGTTTGTAAATAAACGAAAGAAAATATGGCCTTTTTGAGTTATTATAGCAAATTTTTATTATTAATGCTAGTATACAACTAAAAAGTGCGTAAATTTAATAAGCACAACATTCATTGAGTTTATTTTTCGTTAATTTGCTATTAATCTCCAGTTTGTTTACTTTAGTGTGTGCTGACTATGGTTGCCGTATGACATTTTTCGTTTGTACCATAATTTACCTTTAAATATACCAAAATAGATTTAAATGCAGCATGCTGAAATGTTGTTTTGCTGAAGTTTTCGGTTTTGGTAGGTTGATTGTTGAAATGAAAATTTTATCATTTTAAACCTACTCTATTACATTTTTTTGGATCAATGATGGGTGTTTGGAGAAGATACTATTGTTTTTAATGCATCACCATGTGATATCACAAATAATTATGAGAAAAATAACTTATTCATTCCGATATAATTAAATCGTATTTTAAAAAGGTTTTTCTTATCCAAAACTATTCACATATATAAAATGCCAAATCGGAGGAAAATGCACCAAGCAGAAAATAAATTGCCAAATTAATCACCAGTGGCAACTGTGCAAGTGACCAGCTGTTTCGAAGGTTGCAAGTTATTGCAAATTTTGCGTTCTCGTACTTTTGTTGATATTTCGTCTCTTTGAGAGCCAATGCTGCTAAATTCTCAGAACTTTTGCTGCTGGAGAATTTTGTCCTCTCAATACGAGTACACACCTATTTTCAATAGTCAAATACACCGATCAGCTGATTACTTGCTAGTTTCTGCTAGTTTTGCGCCATGATTCAATAATGAAAGGTTTTGTAAGAAAAACTTTCTCTCGCTCTAATTTTATCAATGACACTCCCACCCTACTCCTAAAAACAAAAACAGTGGTATTTCTTTTACAAATTTCTTTGCAGGTTTTAAGAAAATTTTTCAATTTTTAGTAGTGAAATTTTTACTTTTTAAATTTGAAGAAATGTTTGTTCTTCATTCGCTGGCGATAACATGACAAAATGGATGAGAATCATTAGACTACAGAAACTCAATGTAGGCTAAAGAGACGAAATTCCCTTAAATGCCAAAATGTATTTGTCGATGCTCGTGGAGACCTCTTGACTCTGCCAAGTACCTGTAAAGTAAAGCGTGCGTTCTGGTAAATGAGTCAACGAAGGTATTTAGGTATGGTCCTCCACAACACAATCCTGTAGCTCGTTTCTGTAACTCTTCTCTACCGATTATTTCTCTACTGGTAGAGAATATACGTCATTCTCTACTACTCATTAGCAGTAGAGAACAGGGCGGCGAAATCATATCTCACTTCGCCTTGGAAGAGAATTGTTACAGAAACGAGCTACTGGTGTCTCCGAATGAGACTTTGACGCAATATAATATTGGCAACCCGCATCCATGGGCCCAATAGTAACACACGACAGCTCGGTTTAGGCGATGCCGCGATGTAATTGCACTTACGGCACTTCTCATTTGACGATGTAGATCACGTTCCCTGTCTCAGTCGTTCAGTAGCTGCGTGTTCTTTTTATTCTTCCTGTGTTCATCCGGCACGAATCGCCAATCGCGACTGTGTAAGCCAATGTTTAATATTCTGACGGTGGTATAATCTCCCCATCACACTAAAAGTGCAACAACACAGAACTCGAATTACCATATTCGAAGCAATAGAGCCATAACCGCGAAAGAAACGTAAGCTCCAAATGTTTTCATTTGTACACCCCTATTCTGCAACTCTTTCGTATTCGGATTTTGCTACGAATCGTAGAAATAGTATGCTGCAATCCGAATCGTATTTTCGAACTTTCGAAATTCGTACAATGGCATGCCTAAAAACGAACGAGTAGGCTTTTTTGCGTAATTTTGTACGAAAACAATTCTGTGACGGATGCGAAATAAAAGATGTAAATCGATGTGTGCTTGCAAGAAATATTTGTGGTGTTCATTTAAACAGATAAATTTGCCTTTCGCATATACGTATATTTTTATCCACTGCTTTATATAAACGAGCAAAAAAGAGTATTTGTTGCCCCTTATCGAGAAACTTGGGTCCGGTTTAGTTAATGTACGATTTTCGGTTGTTGTGTCCAAACGCATAACCCGAATCTAAAAACTTTAACATACACGTGTAATCAAAGGATTCACATTTCATTTAAGATAAATGTTTCAAATTTCCTACCACTAGCTTATTAATAAACTCGGTTTGCACTATGCACTTTTTTTTTGCAAATTTCGACGTGTGTTCCGCGCAAAAATACTGTGGACGGCGTAGCCGGAGTGATATGCACAAGAAATGTTGTATACCTTTGGCATGCGGAAGCCCCTCTCCCCCGCAACACAGAAAGGAGAATTCTACTTAGTAAGGGTTATAATCCCTAAGCGCGGCCGAAGGCAGAAGCAAGCGCAACAGGTGGTGGCCCTAACAAAGTGCATGTTTTCAATGGCTTGGAAGAAGCTGTTATTGCATTAACTGGATTGAGAACCAGAGCTTCAGGCATAGGAGGAGTTCTGTCTTATGGTTCAACAATTCAACCAGAAGCTGGCATAGATGCGCCCATGGTTACAATGCCCGACAGCTCTGCATACCTTTGTGAATCCATTGCCATAGCGCTGTTGTTGTTGTAGCAGCATACAAATTCCCCAAAGACTTTTTGGGGAGTGTTGCTGGAGTGACAGTCCTTGGCCAGATATAAATCTGGGTCGTTCTGGTTACGTAGACCCGACTGTCGTGGGAACGTGCCATAGCGCTCGCTTACTCTGCTGCTATAATTGCAAATACATCAGAATCCATAATTTACCTCTAAATATTTAAAATTAACTAATTTTACAATAAACAAGCACATGATGAGTGTTTTTTTTTATTCCTTTCCACTTTGGTTTCCTTCATTCAGCAATCTTCGAAAAACAACTGATAGCTGGCAATGCTGCACATGTTTCCGCAAGGGTTGCAGCATGTGGATTTTTCGTTTTTCGTAGCGTAGCTACGAATTACTAATTACGAAAATTCGGGTTCTAGAATAAGGGGGGTAGTTTTTTTTATAAATATTCCATAAGTTTTCCACAAACAATTAGCTTCTTCATATCCATCATCTGGAGAACAAATACAACAAAAAAAAATCTCATAGTGGAGCATTCATTCTCGAGTTATGCGCCGTCTGACGTACGAAAGTTTGGCATACGTATACATCGAAATATTTATTTTTAATAGCAATCAGGGGTAATATTCCACCAGTCACTATTATCCACACCTTTTTGTGGAATTTAGCTACCAGTTTAGGAAGTGTGATTGAATTCTTTCCCTTTTCTACTGGTTCCAAAAACTATCCCTGTGGGTGGGTGTGGCAAATTTTAGAAAAAAGCTACTTACAAAACATTTAATAATTGAATCATGGTTTTGCGTTTCTTTACGTTTTCGTTATTTCGCTCTCTGTGAGCGTAATTCTTTAAATTTTCTCATTCTTTTTCTTCCTGATAATTATCTGATAGAAACAAAAAGAAACAAAGCCATTATTTCGAGAAAAGAAAACACTATCAGCTTAACCGATTATAAAACTTAAAATGTGTGCGATATCTTACTTACCGCATCCACATGAATATAGAAAAAATGTTCTGGGGAGTAGAGCGTTTTAATTAACCGATGAACTTGTCGAAGAGCACGACCATTAAGCGTCAGCAAAAATACAATCCGTACTCGTTCAGTGTCAGGTTTCGTAACTCTGGCTTCAGCAATATGTGACGTAAATTCTATTAATGGAAAAAAAGCAATTAGATCGAGATACAAAAGTTGTAGAGATGAGGTCAATTGGGAAATTCGTTTAATGAATTATATGTAGTTCTTAATACTAAATTGTGCACTCGTACTTGCAATTCCAGTTTCATAGACGTTAATAGTAAAATACCCCCCACAACTATAACGCGGGTTGCCGGAGCATTTCATGTTGCATCTAGAATCTGGTAGTTTCGACGTTAGGGGCGGAGCATCTGTGCCACAGAAACATTCGGTCGCGTACTGCACTCCTGCATAAGGAAACCCCGATTGAAGACAGAGCCGTATGCATTTTTGTGGAGAATTGCTTAATTTCAAATTTGTAAAATATCCCGACAGCAATCTATAATCCTTTTCATCCTGGAAGCAGCCAAGCGGGGCATTAGGAGTGTAATTCCCAGCAGGACAGTGAGTGGGCAACTTCTGAGCATAAAAATCGCCCGCCTGGATGGCACAGGCAATAAGCGCAATTTGCTTGCGACAGTCTTTAGTTTTAGCTCGCTGCATTGCAGAAATAGCTTCCTTGGCAGTAATATTACATTCTACCACACCGCCACGGGAATCATTCTCCGAAAATCTAAAATTAGCATCGATATTGGGATCATTTTTTATAATTTCTTTATGTCGTAAGAGTGTAGTCGCATCATGTTCACTGGCAAAATGGTGAATGGCACCTCCGTTGGCTACAGACTGCTTTTTACTTTGAGAGGTCGGTGCTCTGGTTTCCAAAAACAAATTTGCATTTGCAGTTATAACATTTGAACTGGAAATGTTTAAAGATTTTAAGGCGAGAAATATCTGCACACCAAATATTAAAAGTCCGAGTAGAAAGAATAACTTGTAGCGGCGGAGCCACCGAATGGCAATGTTGTTAGCCATTTCCTTTACTCTATGATGCACAGCTGGATCAATGCCGCAGGCAAGTGTGAAAAAGCCTGCAAAAACGTCAAAGCAAATACGTTCGCCGATCTAAGAAAACTCTATATACTTTACTAAAAGGGCTCCTGGTGGCGGCCGAAGAAAATGCACAATTCATGACAGTGGGAAACACGTGGAAATTAAGCAGTGCTTTGCGTAGGGTCTACTTTAAGCTTTTACTATTTTTAATATTTAAACTTTTTTCACATTTTCCTGTAAAATCTGCTACCAAGGCGAATTAACCAAATTCGCCTTGTTCGCAAATAGAGATGAAACTAGGATTGTTGATATTATGCTTGAAATACAATACCGGCGAACGGCAAACTTCGCCGAAATGGGCGATGCTGTCATTCACCGTTCGCCGAGCTATTTCGCCTACTTAAACAGAATTAGAGCGGTAGCGAAAACAGCTGATCCCATTTGGTCGCCTTTATAATTTGGCTGACCATATTTAGAAAAAACTAAACCATATTTAGAAATGAGGAAATGATAACAAATATAAATGTAAAACAAAGAAAGATTATTATAAATAATTTGTTTCAAGCCAGATTTAATGAATCCACAACTATATTTTTCAAACAACAAAAAAAAAATCGTGTTTAGGTTGTTTTCTTTAAAACTTTGAAAGCAAAAAACAAATACGGCCACCTTTGGCACGCACAGCTGTCATCGCCCAGCAGGGCGATAGAAATAAATCTATCGCCATGAAACGCCGACAAGCGAACTTCGCATTTCGCTTTGGCTGTGTTCAATTTCATATGCTTGCGGGTGTTCTAATTTTGACAGTGCGAATTTCGCTGTGGTGAGTTCGCCGTTCGCCGGCATTGTATTTCAGCTATTATATCGAAGTTTACGATATTTTTTGCTCCCGATACGTTATTATCGGCGCGATAATTTTCTGAACGATAATAACTGATATCGATATTTTAGCACAAAGGCCCTGTGCCAATTGATAGAAAAGTTCTATGGTGGAAAAACTTTTTACTATGGTGAGAAAATTTTACATTTCTGCTGTGCCAATTCGTAACTTTTTACTGCTGGAAATTTTTGACAGTTGCTTTGATGCACAAGAAGACTATCGAGTTTGCTATTTATAAAATGCAGCAATTATATAGAAAATATTTGCCTTTGATGATTTCAATTCTTCTGGAACTGAAATCCATGCATTTATTAGACCTTTTAGCAGTAATATTAGAAATAAAAACACGTCAAAACCGTCTGGTAAGTGTGTTCACAAAAATGTTTAAAACCGTGTACAATTGTTTCCAATAAAAACATATGTCGTTTTAGGGTATTATGTACATGCAACCAGACGTTTATTCCAAAATACTAAGCAGCATTATGAACGGCGATAACAAGACTACAAAAATGTATCTTAGGTTGTCCTCTGCTTCGTTTCGAAAAATTGTAACTCACATTCCCAAAAAGCGCCACGGATGGTCAGTGGAGTACGAAGTAATTTGCTTAATAAAGTCTTCAAATTGTTTATATTGTTCTTACTCACTTCCAGCCTTCGTTGCTGTTGGCGTTCTTTGAACTGAACCAATCATCCTTTTCAATGCGCTTTTCCAGAAGGATTCTGCGTTCTGAACTGCTCCCTGTAAAATAGTATTTTTAATTAAAAAAATACATAACGCCTTTTCATATGTAAATCTGAAATTAAATCTTACAAGTTATATAGCTTTCCTTTATTTTTTTGCCGGCGGGACCATGTTCTTTTATTTCCACTCGCTTTTGTTTTCTTTAATTTATTGGGGTGTTCACAGTTCGTTCCAAATAGTGTCTGAAAATGTAGACGTCTACATTTTAAGACGTTTTCTAACCGTAAAATCTGTGGTGTTGTTGTTTCCCATACAAAATTGGAAAACGACGCCGACTACATTTTGTCACACTCAAAGGTATGTTTTTTACGCGTCTACATTT